AGCCCGGCCGGGTGGGAACAGCGTTCCGACGGCCCGTGCCGCCGCGAGCTCGGCGTCCGGGACTGCGGATCCTGGCATGCTGCGCGGGAAGCCCCGTCAGGCGCTGAAGCCGGGCGTCGAGCGACTACGACTTCCGGTGTGCAGCGCGCCCCTCTGTACCACGAACCCCCCTCAGGCGCTGCGAATCACATCGCGGAACGAAGGTCTCTGTTCTGCTGAGGCCCGGCGTCGTGAGAACTACGAGCCCCGGCATGCAACGCGCTCTGCTGCCCCAGCACCCTTTATGCGCGGAGGGCCAACCGGCGTCGTGAGATGGCGAAACCGGAGTCCCGGCATGCAGCGCGCGCCTTGCTTCCCCCCCCCCCCCAAATCCCGTTAGGCGCCGCGGCTCCCGGCGTGCAGCGCGGGGCTGCCCTACTACCGCTCCTCCCATCGCGCGCTGGGGCTGCCGTCGTCGTTGGACTACGAGGCCCGGCGTGCAGCGCGCGCCTCTGTCCCGTGAATCCCAGTCAGGCGTTTGGACTCCCAGCGTGCCACGCGGGCGTCGTGCGGCTGCGGTCCCGCTGGGCGCGGCGCCCCTCGTTGCGCTGGCGTGGGTTTGGGGTCTTCCGGGTTCTGGCCCTCCGCGCGCTCTCGGAGCCGCCGTGGGGGCAGCAGATCCGGAGGAGTGGCGTGGTGGTCCGCGGCTCCCTCAGGGCCTTTCCGGGTTCGGTTTCTGAAGGGCTGCGCTTTCTGTGGGCGCCCTGGGCTAGCACCTGCTCCCACAGTGAGCCCCCGGGGGCATGAAGCAGCAACTGGCAGAACTTGAGGGGGCAGACAGGCCAGCAGTAGTACCTGCAGGATGTGCGGCACTTTGCCCTAGCGCGCTTCGCGGGGTCCGAGTTTTCACCAGTTGGAGCTTTGTGGCAACTCTGGTGGAGCACGTCCGTCGGCACCATTTCTCGCAACAGCGTTTGCTCACCTCGGTATCTGTCACGTTTTGGTAATCTTTCAGATATGTTGGTAATATTTCAAACTTCTCCACTGTTACTATATTTGTCACAATGATCTGTGCTTGGTGGTCTTTGATGTCACTATTGTAACTGTTTTGGGGCATCGCAAACCACGCCTGGGTAAGCCAGTGGACTTAATGGATAAATGTGTGTGTTCTGACTCCTCCAGGGACCAGCTGTTTCTTTGTCCTGCTTCCTCTCCAGGGCCTCCCTATCCCCTGAGACACAACAATATTGAAATCAGGCCAGTTAGTAGCCCTACAATGGCCTCTAAGGGTTCAAGTGAAAGGAAGAGCCGCACATCTCTCACTTTACATCAGAAGCTAGAAATGATTAAGCTTAGCGAGGAAGGCCTGTCGAAAGCCGAGATAGGCCGAAAGCTAGGCCTCTTGCGCCAAACAGTTAGCCAAGTTGTGAATGCAAAGGAAAAATTCTTGAAGGAAATTAAAAGTGCTACTCCAGTGAACACACGAATGATAAGGAAGCGAAACAGCCTTATTGCTGATATGGAGAAAGTTTTAGTTGTCTGGATAGAAGATCAAACCAGCCACAACATTCCCTTAAGCCAAAGCCTAATCCGGAGCAAGGCCCTAACTCTCTTCAACTCGATGAAGGCTGAGAGGGGTAAGGAAGCTGCGGAAGAAAAATTTGAAGCCAGCAGAGGCTGGTTCATGAGATTTAAGGAAAGAAGCCGTCTCCATAATGTTAAAGTGCAAGGTGAAGCAGCAGGTGCTGGTGGAGAAGCTGCAGCGAGTTATCCAGAAGATCTAGCTCAGATCATTAAGGAAGGAGGCTACACTAAACAACAAATTTTCAATGTGGATGAAACAGCCTTATATTGGAAGAAGATGCCATCTAGGACTTTCATAGCTAGAGAAGAGAAGTCAATGCTTGGCTTCAAAGCTTCAAAGGACAGGCTGACTCTCTTGTTAGGGGCTAATGCAGCTGGTGACTTAAAGTTGAAGCCAATGCTCATTTATCATTCTGAAAATCCTAGGGCCCTTAAGAATTATGCAAAATCTACTCTGCCTGTGCTCTATAAATGGAACCACAAAGCCTGGATGACAGCACATCTGTTTACAGCATGGTTTACTGAATATTTTAAGCCCACAGTTGAAACCTTCTGCTCAGAAAAAAAGATTCCTTTCAAAATATTACTGCTCATTGACAATGCACCTGGTCACCCAAGAGCTTTGATGGAGATGTACAATGAGATTAATGTTGTTTTTGTGCCTACTAATACAACATCCATTCTGCAGCCCATGGATCAAGGAGTCATTTCAACTTTCAAGTCTTATTATTTAAGAAATACATTTCGTAAAGCTATAGCTGCCATAGACAGTGATTCCTCTGATGGATCTGGGCAAAGTAAACTGAAAACCTTCTGGAAAGGATTCACCATTCTAGATGCCATTAAGAACATTCGTGATTCGTGGGAAGAGGTCCAAACATCAACATTAACAGGTGTTTGGAAGAAATTGATTCCAACCCTTATGAATGAATTGGAGGGGTTCAAGACTTCAGTGGAGGAAGTCACTGCAGATGTGGTGGAAATAGCAAGAGAACTAGAATTAGACGTGGAGCCTGAAGATGTGACTGAATTGCTTCAATCTCATGACAAAACTTTAACGGATGAGGAGTTGCTTCTTATGGATGAGCAGAGAAAGTGGTTCCTTGAGACAGAATCTACTGGTGAAGATGCTGTGAAGGTTGTTGAAATGACAACAAAGGATTTAGAATATTACATAAATTTAGTTGATAAAGCAGCAGCAGGGTTTGAGAGGATTGACTCTAATTTTGAAAGAAGTTCTACTGTGGGTAAAATGCTATCAAACAGCATTGCCTGCTACAGAGAAATCGTTCATGAAAGGAAGAGTCACTTGATGTGGCAAACTTCGTTGTTGTCTTATTTTAAGAAATTGCCAGAAACACCCCAGCCTCCAGCAACCACCACGCTGATCAGTCAACAGCCATCAACCTCGAGGCCAGACACACCACCAGCAAAAAGATTACGACTCACTGAAGGCTCAGATGATGGTTAGTGCATTTTCAGCAATAAAGTATTTTTAAGTTAGGGTATGTACACTTTTCAGAGACATAATGCTATTACACATTTAATGGACTGCAGTACAGTACAATGTAGGCATAATTTTTGTATGCACTGGGAAACCAAAAAACTTGTGAGCCTTGTGATATTCACTTTATTGCAGTGGTCTGGAACCAAACCCTTAAAATATATCCGTGTAGACGTGTCATTGTCTTTAGTTGGATCGCTCTCTCCCTTTGTTCTTCTTTCCCTCCATTTAAAAACGATGTAAATTATGTACATACCAAAGGCTGTGTAATCCTAAAATGAGCCCTTCTGCTGACCTAAAATCTCAAACATTACCAATATTGTTAGAACAACCTATGTGCTGCTTACCATCCATCTTATCTCCTTGATCTCCAACCAGGGGTATCTGCCATCGCAGTCTCATGCTTCTCTCTCCTTTTATTTGGTGTCTTGCTGCATTTGTACATATATATGAACAAAGGTACTGTTTACCATGCTTGTTTTTGAGATTTATAAATGTGAATCATGTTATGTTTTTTAATCTGTCTTGGCTTTTTTATTCATCACTATGTGTGCAAATTTTATTATTTTATATGGCTATAGTTTATTGTGACTTCTATAGAATAGCTCACTGTGTGAATGTAACAGGATATATTTATCCATTATCTTGTCAGTGGACATTTAGATTGTTTTCACTTTTTGGTATTATGAACATTGCTGCAGTGAACATCCTGCATGTTTCTTGGTGCACATGAGTTAAAAAGTCTGAGGGTATATACCTAAATGTGGAACTGCTGAATTAGAATATTGCAAATGCCCAGATTTATGAAATAATGCCCAAATGGTTCAAAATGGCTGTCTCAGTTTATACTCCCACTGCATCATTAACAACTTGGTGTTACCAGACTTACTAATCTCTGCCAGTGTGAATGAAAATCTGTGTTAAAATTAAATTGTGGCTTTAATTTGCACTCTTCTAATAGCCATTTTGGCTTAGTATGTTTTCCTATTTTTTATTTACCTTTTGTGTTTTCTGTGAAAAGCCTATTCAAGTTTGTTTCTCAAATTTCTGTTGGGCTGTTTGTCTTCTTTTTGAGCAATGATAGTTCCTTATGGTTTCTGAATATAGATTCTTTATTGTCTATATGTTACCCACATTACCAATTTTTGGCTGGTCTTTTTCATGATATTTTGAGAATAAAGTCCTTAATTTTAAGAAAGCATTTCCTAATCTGAGGTTATTAAGCTAGCTTCCTTTTTACTTCCAAAATTTGTAGAAGTTTGCATTTCACAACTAAGTCTTTGAATAATAAGAAATGGATGTTTTGTATGTGATGTGAGGCAGGGGTCTGATTTCTTCCCCATGTGGGTAACCGTTGTCCAAGCACTACATACTGAAAAGTGTATCTCGTTCTCCCTGAGCTGTGGTGCCACCTCTGATACACAGTAAATCTCTATAGATAAACGAGCCCATTTTGGACTTTCTACTCTGGTTTGTTCTTGCATTAATTGCTATAGCTTCATGATAAGGCATGATATTTGGGATGGCATGTGCCCCCCCGCAACAGTTCACTTCTTTAGAAGTTTCTTTAGAAGCTTTGTGGCTAGTCTTGGCCTTTGTTGTTTAACAAATTTTAGAATTAGAGTGTCAAATTTATTGATTAAACCTGTTGAGAGTTTTGATCAGAACTATATGGAATCTATAGTTCAGTTTGAGAAGTGACTTTTTTTGTGATTTGAATCTTCTCATTCATGAACACAGTTTATCACTCCATTTATTTAGGGCCCTTTCAAAATCTTCTAAGATTTTATAATTTTCTGCTTATAGGACCTCCACATTTTTTGTTAGATTTATTTCTAATTACTTCATTTTTTTGATTACTGATACCTTTGTTGATATATGACACTTTTTAAAAATTAACGTTTTCTAATTGTTGGTGGTATATTAAAATGCAATTGATTTTTGTGAATTGACTTTATAACCACTTACCTTAATAAGTTCTTTTATTTTAAATAGCATACCAGTAGATGCTTTGGAGTTTCCTATGTAGAACTTCATATCATTTACAAATAATTTTTATTACTTCCTTTCCAAGTGTGATGAACAGGATCAGTTATCGTGGGGATCCTTGTCTTGTTCCAGATTTTAAAGGGAATGTTTCTAACATTTCCCCATCAGGAGAGATGTTTGATGTACATCTGTTATCAGGTTAAAGAAACTTCAATCTATTCTTCATCTCTTAAGAGAGTCTTACAGCTATTTTAGTTTACCAGATGTTTTCTGCATCTTTTGAGGCGATCATACAGCCTTTCTCTTGTTAAAACCATACATATACATACACATACATATATGCACATATATACACACATGCATATACACACGTACATACATATGAGTTCTATGTATATAATTAAATTAAATTATGCATTCCTGGGATAAACCCAATACAGTCACTAGATTTAATTGGCTAATATTTTACTTAATATTTTCACATGCATGTTTATGAGTGAGAACAGGCCATAAGCTTCCTCTTCTGTATTAGCCTTATTTAATTTGTTATCAAGGCCAATATGTTTCTTGAGATGAGCTGGGGAGCTTTCCCTCTTTTGTGTTTCTATTTTCATTTTTGAAAGAGTTTGTATAAGTGTGGAATGATCTGTTTCTTGAAAAATGTGTGTAAGTAGCCTTTATCACCTCTGGCCTTGGTGTTTCTTTGTGGGAAGGTTTTACCCTGATGATTAAATTTCTGCCCTAGTTACAGGTCTTTTCAAACCTTCTATTTCATCTTGAGTCATTTTTGGAAATTGCATTTTCTAGGAATTTTGTCAATTTATTTGCATTCTTTGTTTCTTGACACCATCTTAAGTTGGATGTTTAAGGCATTAATTTTAGCCTATCTTCTTTTTAAGTAAAACTTTAATGCCATAAGTAGCACCAAGTATCACGTTTGCTTCATCTCACTAGTTTTGAAATGTAGTTTTTTCATTATCAGTCATTTGATTATTCATTTATATCCATTATGGTATTTTTCTTTGAAAAATGAGGTCCTTCAGTATATTTTAAAATGTCCAAATGCATGGGAACTTTTCTCCATCTTTTTATTGTTGATTTCTAAGTTAATTCCATTATGGCTAGATAACATCATCTGAATGACACTAGTTGTCTGAAATTTAATGCAATTAGCATAATCCAGTATGTGGTTAATATGTGCTTCAAAAGAATGTGTCTTCTTTCCTTATTTGATTCAGACTTTTATATCTACCCAACAAATTAAGCTTGTTGAATGTGTTACTAAAATTCCCCATGTTTACTTTTTTTCTGATTGACCAGTGATCGAGAGAAAGATGTCTAAATCTCACCGTTAGTGGATTTGCCAATTTTTCCCCTGTAGTTTTATTAGTTGTGTGTGTGTACATAACACACAAACACACATAATTGTACAACATATCCATAAAGGGGGGGCAGAGATTGTTATTAAAGGCATACACATGAAAAATTTTTATGTCCTCGGTGAATTGAAACTTTTTTGTCATGTAGAGCTCTTTGTATCCTGAATAATGCTTATTTCTTAAAACGTATCTTAAAATGTATTTTGTTTGAAGTATGACTATATTAACTTTTAATAAGTGCTTGCCTGGTAGATACGTCACCTTTAATTTTAATTTTTTTTTTTTTAATGGCAGTACTGGGAATTGAACCCAGGAGCATGCACTCCTCTGACCTATACCCACCCGTTACTTTTAGTTTTCCTATACCTTAAGTTTAGATATTCTTCTCATAAATGACATATAACTAGACTTTGATGATTCATTGTGACAATCCCTGATGTTTCGCTGGAAAGTTCAGTGTGGTTAGAGTTAATCTTCCAGTTTTCCTATGGGTATCTTTTCTCCTTTATTATCTTTTTTTACCTTTGGAGATATGAGATCTGCTTTTCTGTTTATTTTCCTATTTTATTTTTTCTTACTCCATTTTTTTTCTATTGGTGATCACATTGAAATTTTACCTTTGTGACATTGTGATTTATAGGACAAATATATAGTCTTCATCCACAGTTCCTGGACCACAGCCCCCAAAATCTTTGGAATTTCCTGAGTGAGATGGGGTAATACTTGGTCCCTTGTCCTCAGTTTCTGAAACCACTCTCAGGTAGGGACTGTCCCTTTTATTCTGATGAGTGGGGCGGAGGAAAAGGGGGCACTGGGGAAGGTTTCTGCTGCGGGAAGAGCACTGTTGACATGTCTAGGAAGAGACCCTTGTGACATTCGAATTCTAAGTCATTCGAAGGAGAAGGCTCCGTAAGACACGGTTTCTACAAACACACGGCGCATCTGCATATAGGATGTTCCTGTGGGATGGCTCACTTTAGAACAGAGGTCCTGTTCAGCGCGATGCACACACCAGTCAAATCTATCCTCCACAGAGTGTAAGCACTGGGACTGGTGTGGCTTTATCGGCTGCTGACTGTTCACCCCTCCCGGGGGCTTGGCTGCACAGCACTGCACTTTCTTTCAGAGGGCTCCTTGAGAAGAGAGGAATAATGAAAACAAATGTATTTTGGCTAAAAGGAACATTCTACCACTTCTTAAACGGGGAAGTTGTACCCACGGACACTTTGGACAGGAAAAGACAGCTGGGAAAGCTGAAAGGTGCACATGCTCTCCGGGGAAGGGAGAGTCCTGGGGGACAGAGCCGACATCTGTGGCTTTGCTACTCATGGGAGCAGCTGGTGTGCTGTGCGGGCGGCTGATTGCTAACTGTCAATCAGAAATATTCCCTTTAAATAATCCCACAAATCTACCAGAATGGAGGCTTTACGTAAGAACCCCTCACGCGCCCTGAGGAGATCTAGGATGGTCTTGTCCCAACAGCGACTTTCCCAGGAACACCTCCGCACTTTGGAGCAGCTGGGTAACCGTGGAGGTGAAACAGACTGTAATTCCTCCCACGCTCTGTTGTGCTTCCTGGTGAAGGGAACGCTGTGACATCTGGGATCGGCTCCACTGGAATTTCCTGATTATGTCTCTGGTGACAGGACACAGAATGCTTTGATTTGTCTCAGAATTTTCGCTGGGCAAATTGCTAACACACAGAGATGACATGAAGCCTTGACTACCTGAGCCTTCCCAAATGGTTTGGGTTTAACTTTTTAAGTTATTATTTCAAGTCAGGTGTGGAGGAAACATATTTTAGAGTGAATCTGATTCCCGTCTCCAAGCTGAAAGTTTTCTTTGGAAAATTCGCTTCATCAGGTTCAGGACTGGACAGCAAGCCTTTCTCCGGGGCTGGGGGTCAGCTCTTCCAGGTCTGAGGCTGTCACAGGAGAAGCACCTGTGCGTCCCAGGGGACTGGTGAGTTCACGGGTGCTGCCGTGTCGCTTCACCTCAGGTTCCCTCTGGCACAGCAGGACAGCAGGCCCCTGGCCACTGCAAATTATGATGTTTGTTTTGCTGCTGGGAAGAGGAAATTAAAAACAATAATAATAAGCATGAGATTCATTTACTTTTACATCATCAGACGGCGTAAAAAGGGTTTTAAAAGAGAATGCTCAGCTTTATAGGCTGAAAGCAGAGTCCGTTCAGCTTACAGACTATTTCTGCTGTTTATTTGTTTTAGTTCCTCTAGGAGATTACTGATAGTTTTTGACTATCGGTTTAAGAAGAATCTTCACTGTTTAAAGATGTGTGCTGAAATATTTGCCGACGAAGCAGTGTGTTACCTGGGGTTTGTTTCTTAGTAGTTGGGTTTGGGAATGGCAGGTGTGACTGGAGCAGGACAGCTTCTGTGCTGGTAGTTGCTGGAGAGGGGTGATGGGGACATCTGTATTTTTGCAGATGTTTGGAAACCTTCATGATGAAAAAAGGTTAAGGGCTGTGTTGTAGGGAATAATCTTCCTGCATAAATTCCATGTGTAATTTATGTACAAATTACCTTCTAATCTGCCTCTCATCTTACGACTGCCCAAGTTCCATTACAGCCCTGGGGAGGGAGTGTATAACCAGCAGGTCCCAAGACAACCGTCACAGCAAAATTCAGAGCAGAGGGTAGTTTGGAGTCACTGCCGTCAGCCCTCTCTCTGCTTGGGTCCTGCACAAGGCGGACACGAGAATATGCCATGGGGCTGAGAGAGTCCCTAACAGAAAGAAGTCTCTCTACGATGGCTCTTTAAAATACTGTTTGTGTTAGACTTTACGACATAGACCACGAACGTCCTAGAAGTTCTGCTCCATTGATCTTTGTGTCTGTCCTCACGCCCACACCGGACGACCTTGACCACTGTAGCTTCATGGCAAGTTTGAAATCCAATGGTGTAAATTCTCCAGCTTTGTTCTTTTTCAAAATTGTTTTGGCTATTCTAGGCCCTTTCCATGTCCATATAATTAATAGGATCAGTTTGTCAACTTCTACACAAACATGCTGGGATGTTGATCATGATTGTGTTGAGTCTCTAGCAATTTGGGGTGAATCGTCGTATAAATGATGTTGAGTCAATCTATGAGCATGGACTGTCTCTCCATTTCCTTGAATTTTCTAGAATTTCTCTCAGCAGTATTTTATAGTTCTCAGTGAACAAATCTTTTTACTTTAATACCTAGTATTTTTTTATTCTTGATGCTATCATAAATGGAATTGTTTTCTCAGTTTCATATTCGGGTTGTTTGATGACAGTGCAGTTGACCCCTGAACAACATAGGGGTTAGGGTCACAACCCCCGTACAGTCAAAAATCTGCATATAGCTTGTGACTTCCCAAAATCTTGATTACTGATCGCCTACTGTTGACTGGAGTCCTTCCTGATAACACAAGCAGTTGGTTAACACATATTTTGTATGTTACATGTATTATATATTGAATTCTTACAAAAAGTGAGCTAGAGAAAAGAAAATGTTTAAAATATATAAGGAAGAGAAAGTGCACCACAGTACATATATGTATTTATTGACAAAAATTAGCGTGTCAGTGGACTTGCATAGTTCAAACCCGTGTTGTTCAAGCATCACCTGTGTGTGAAAATAGAATTGATTTTTGCACAGTGATCTTGCAATCTGCAATCATGATAAGCTCATTTATTAGTTCTAGTGGGTTTTTTGTATATTTCTCAGAACTTTCTATATATAGGATCAGGTCATGTGTAAATAGACAGCTTTGTTTCTTCTTTTCAATATTGATGCTTCAGTTTATTTTCCTTTCTCTCACTCTCTTCCCTCCTTTTTCGGGTCGAGAGCATTGCACCCTCGAACTTCCCGCACTGTGCTGAGCAGATGCAGCAGGAACAGCTGTCCTTCCTCGTTCCTGGTCTTGGAAGGAAGGCGTGCCGCTCACTAGGGCTCCGCCTGTCCCTGACAGGGTGCGGGTGCTCCTTTCTTCTCCTTTTCCCCGACTTACTTGTTTTGTCATGCAGAGGTGCTGGATTTTGTTGGTGATATTTTTCCACATCTATTGATTGATTGATTTTCGGATGTTCATGCAACCTGCGTTCCTGGGGTAAACTCCAGTTGTCATGGTTTGTAACCCTTCTCATATGCTGTTGGATTTAATTTGCTAATATTTTGTCAAGGGTTCTTATGTCAACGTTCATGAGAGATCCTGGTGTGAAGTTTTCTTGCAATGTGTCATCTGGCATTGGTGCCAGGGTGTCGCTACCTCCTGTGACTCCTTTCTGAAAGGGCTTCCTTTAAACATCCAGCGTCACTCCCCACTGCAGCCGCCGGGGACCGAGTTTTCCTTTGTGGGAAGGTTTAAGGCCACCAGTCGGACTTCTTTACTGGTTGCAGGGCCATTCAGGGTTTCTGTTTCTTCTTGAGTCAGTTTTGATCGCTTGTGTCTTCCCAGGATCTTGTCCATTTCATCTTCATGGGTATAAAGTTCTTCATGTTTCCTTAAAATCCTTTTAATTTTACCGTGGTTGGCAGTGATACCCGCTTTCACTGCCAGCATTGCTAATTGTGTCCCCTCTCCTTCCTGTGGTCAGCCCAGCTCAGGGCCTCTCAGCTTCAGAACCACTGACATTTCGGGCTGAATAGGTCTCTGTTGTGAAGGGCTGTCCTATGCATGACAGACTGGCTGACATGCAGACAGACTTGGAGGTGGGATGGGTTTAGGACCAGCAGCTGTGGGAGGTGAGGAGCCGCAGAAGGAGATGTAGAGCTCAGAGCTGGCCCTGCTGCAGGGCACGTGGCCACCAGGGCTGCCCCGGGAAGCTGCTCGGGCTCTCCCTCCGGCCCTGCTCAGGCCCCACTGTGGCCCTCGCCGAGGCCCTGAGGGTGGACAGCTGGGCAGCAAGGCCCTCCTGGGGGCGGGGCGGGGCTGGTGCTGCTGCCCTCAGAAGGCACTGCCTCCCAGGCTTCAGGCGAGGAAGACTAGCGCAGGGCTCTGAAGACAAGAGCGGTGACAGTGGCAGACCTGAGGGTCACGCCGGGTTCTCTGCAGGTCTCGGGGCCACATTTCTAGTGCACTCCTTGCAGACTCCAGCTTCTTGCAGGGTGAGAGGCCTCGCTCGGCGTTCTCCCTCCCAGGAAATGTACGGCACACAGAAGGCTTTGTTTTCTGCTTCATCCACACCTGTAGCTGCGTGAGGCTGAGGCTGCATCTCAGCTGGAAAATTAACAGTTGAATCCTAAATAATAATAATTACTGTTTCTGGTTATTTTGAATCCACTGACAAAGACCTTTACAAGATAATTGCACTGATCAGCCCCTGCGAGTTACGGGGCGGATTCCTGAGTTGGCGTGTGCTGAGAGCATTAGTGGGATTCTGTGGCGCGTTCTGTTTGGTAAGTGTGGCTGTGAGGAGCACATTGTGCTGAAGCGCCTGGTGCAGGGTCTTGTGGTGACACACGGTTTCCATCAAGCAGCCGCTGTGTTTTGGCCTCCCCCTCAAATGAAACATCGTCATCTAACCACGCCCACAAACTCCACCACGAAGCGCCGGCGAAGGCACATGCTGCACATTTCAGATCCGTTTAATTGCAGCTTGAAAGCACTTGTTGGGGTGAAATGGCCCTAAGAAGAAGCAGCTTTCTAGAGTATCAAATAAAGGACTCCTGGGAAAATGGTGTCTAGTAGGAAGTGTAGCTGTGGTTCACAAACAAACAAATAAAAGACTAGGTTTTGTGTTTAAGACTTCTGGCCCCTGGATGTAAACGTCATGTCTCCAAGCCAGATGTCCCCAAAGGAAAGGGCACCCCACCGTGCTTTAGGTAATTTCATTTCACTAAGAGGCACAGACAATATTTTCTCTTTCTGTTCATTTTGAATCCTTTCACAGTAGTTCTTTCTTGAAAATTGTGATGTAGCTTCTACCGTGTAACTCATCCCTTTAAAGTGTACAATTCAGTGGTTTTTAGTGTATTCAAAAAGGTATGCAACCGTCACTACGGTCTAATTCAAGAGTTTTTTCACTCCCCCCAAAGGAAACAGTGCCCACTGCTGGGGCAGGAGCTTGCTTCTCGGTGTAACAGGAGGTCACGGCCACTAGATGGAGACATCCCTTCGTAGACTTTATCTGGCCAAGTCTCCTCCCAGCGTCGTGCACGACGCAGCTGGCGGGGGCTGATTCCAGGACTATGGCTCCCACCGCTGCTGCCGAGAGCCAGGCCCGCTCCCCTGAGCTTCTGCAAAGGCCAGCGTTGTTTCCTCAAGCACTCTCCCCAAACTGCTACACTGAATCCTTTGGTGCAAGAGATGGCAAATGGACAAACGTGTTTTCTTTCACTCGTTATACAGTTATTAGATATTTGTTCGAATGTGTAACGGAAAAAATGTAACAAATACATTCAGCCCGTGACGTTAGTAGTTTTACTTAAGGATACTTCTTTTTGAAAAGGATCACACTTAAAATTAGATTAAAGAAAATCGTTTAGTAGCTAGCATGCACAAGGGCCGTGTGAAAACGGCAAGGCTGCGGGGCGCTGGGCCTCGGCTGAGGTCTGGGAAGGGGGCTGGCTGAACTGCTGCGGGGAGAGTTGGTAAAAGTCCCTGCACCGCGGCCGTGCTGGAAACTCCATTTCCAGGAACAAACTGTCATCTCACGAACGGTTTGGAGGCCTCCGCCTGCTGACCAGCAGGGAGTGATCCCAGTCCGCTTGTCTTCCCCCAGCCTCTGAAGCAGGAGGCCTCTGATTTGCTCTGCGCTCTTGGGTGGCTGTGTAGGTTCAAGAACCTGGAACCCTCTCATGCTGGAGACGCAGCCAGGAAGCCACCCTCTGTGGAGTTAGAGGCCCACGGTGTGCATGTTGCGTTGTCTGTTCCATGTACCCAATAGGAGCAGATGGGCTGGGGGAGGGGGAGGATCTTTGGGGGCAAACGGCGATTTGTGGGGCTTAGCTAACAATTTTGAAACCCAGAAATCAGGATTTGGGGAATAAACTTGAGTAGGGAGTCACTCCGTGCCCTCCAACCTCTTCCTGCTCCTGGTCCCACCTTCCCCTCCACTGTCCTCAAGGAATGCTCACCTCAGCGTCTTATTTTATTTAGTGACAAGCCTGTGAGGGGAGAGGTCATATTGCCCTGTTTTCTAGGTGAGGAACCTGACGTTCAGAGCAGCTGAGTAACTAGTTGGTTACTGGAGAAAAGGCATCTGAATTCTGGTTTCTAACCCCAGGTCTTCTTTCAATATGTTCTACTTTTTCGGGATTACGATGCCCCGCATGAAAATTGCACAGACATGTACTTTAGTCACCTTCTATTTTAAATGCCAGCTTTTTCGTGGGGAAAACAATTGGAGTGAAGACCCCGGAGACACAGAATTCACCCACATCATGAAGTGTTGCAGTTTGGAGGGCACAGATTTGTGTAATAACAAATTGCCTCGTGGGGACAGATTGTGGCGTCGCACAACCATACTGCATCAGCGGGTGTTTTTCCTGTTAATTGGTTTAGAATGCGTGGGGGGACATACGATGCATTCAGCAGTTTTGTTGAGAAAATAATAAATTAGATATTAACATATTACCCGGTCCCAAAGAATTAACAGGCTAGTAAAATTTACCAGCATCACAAAACCCAAAGTTCTCCCAATAAGCCGGTGTTTCCAGCACCGCTATCCTCTCCGGAATTCCTGGTCCCTGGAACTGCTGTGGCAGATCCGAGCAGGTGCATCCCAGGCACATTGGTGGGAGCTTTTCTGGTTTGCATTCTTTTCTGTCACCACAATGGGGCACAATTGGACCTTTAAAAGTACACGTGCAAGATGACATATTTCTGTGCTGCGGTTCCCACCCTCCAGGCAGAAATGGCAAAGCCCAGTTTAGTAAGCAAGGGAGAGAAGGGGTTCAGGTTTAGAGGGTAGTGTGCTACCTCGGATCCGGGGGTGGGGGTGGGGGGAAGAGCCAGGGGCTCCAGGAAGGCAGAGAGCAGGGGAGCGTGGAGACCACGTGTCCTTGTGTGGGGACGGGGGCTGGACAAGGAGTACAGCCAGGGTCGAGAGCCTGGACCCCCGCTGGGCCCAGTGCCCCTCTGGCCCCAAGTGCCTGGATGACACAGACGCCCCAGACGCCCTGGCTGTGATAAGGTGCAAGGTTTGAGATGGGAGACGTGGAGGGTGTGAGCTCTGCAGTGACAGTCCTGGTGGCCTGATTGAGGCCAGTCACCTCGACGAGGAGTGGGGGCCTTGGTGGCCACAGAGCTGGGGGCCAAGGTAAAGACTCGAGAAGGGGCCTGAGGGTCTGGAAAGATTCCAAGTGGAGCTGTAGAAACTCCACTACTGCTGAGCCCAGATGCCATACAGTCTGTCATCACTGATGGAGAACCTGGGGCCCAAGGCCAGGCGGCATCAGACTCCAGAACCAGGCCTGTGCTCACAGGAGGAACCTGACTCCTGTGTCTGGCGGGTGGGAGCCGGGAGGCGAGGGGAAGGCTGGTGGGAGCGAACATGCTGGCAGGACACACAGGTCCCCGGCTGGGGCTCAGCTCAGGAAAAGCAGAACAGAACGGAAGCCTGGGCTGGGAGGCCACAGAGGTGTCCAAAGCTCCCCTCCCTCCCTGCTCTCTCTCTCTCCCTCATTGCAGACTTTTATTAGCAGAAAACCGATCTGGAGAGAACACTGGTTATCAATTTGAAAAAGAGTAATCACAGGCATATCTCCATTGAATGAGCTAAATTTTACAAACCTGCGTAAAAAGCAGCTTAAAGAAAGATGAACCCACGTGTTAAAGTGCACTGAAGGCTGGGCACACGCCCAGAAGAACTGAAAGCAGGGCCTGGAGGAAATGTGTGTGCAGCCATGTCCATGGCGTCCCTGTTCACAGCCGCAGTAGTGTCCGTCACCTGGCGACCGGGGAAGCAACTTGAGGTGACAGACTCGATGGAACACCTCTCGTCCCTCAAAGGGAAGGAAATTCTGGGTCCAGCTGCAGCACGAATCAACCTGGGGGACACAGTGCTCAGTGAAGTGAATCAGCCCCCAAAGACAGAACCGTGTGATTCCACTTCCACGAGGTACTTGGACGGAGAGTAGACGGCGGGGCTGGGGCGGGCCTTGGTGTTCAGTGGGTGCAGAGCTCCAGTTTACAGGATGGGAAGGGGTGCAGAGGTGGGAGGTGGGACGGCTGCACAACACTATGAGTGTGCCCAGTGCCGCTGAACCGTGCACTTAGAGGTGGCGAAGACGGTAAATTTTGTTTTACCATACTTTAAAGAATCCAGGGAAGAAGCTCACCATTGCAGAGGGGCTCGCCCGGTGTTAGCTGCTTCTCCAAGGGGGTTTCAAAGTGAGAGAGCGCAGCCTGTGGGGCTCGCGGGGCTGTGGGCCCCTGAAGGGCCCCGATTTCTCCTGAGGCACTCCGATCCGCTGCAGGCAAAGGGGCAAGACGTGGGGTTTGTTTCAATTCTTTTTTTAATGGGAAAGAAGGATCCCAGAATCACAGCGATGGCAGCTCAATGCCAGCATCTGTCACCCCGCAGAGCGGTCCCTTTGGGCACAGCAGAGACACGAGTGTGCTGGCAGCAGCGCACACTGTCCCCGGTGAAACTGCACGGTCTGCACCTGGGCCCTGGCGCGGGCATGGGGGCTGCACCCTCTGGGCCTTTCCCATCTTTTTTCACTCCGAGGAGAGTGGCCAACCACATTCCATCCATCCCAGAAAAGGAAGTTGTGACATATTTTAAGCGGATGTCACTTAAAACCTGCCCTCGCGGTCCAAGGCCTTTTCCTGCGGCTCAGACTCGCAGTGGAAATGTCTCCACTGCCCGGAGTCTCCGCGGGGCCTGTCCTCAGACCGACTCAGCTGGAGCCTCCCTCCCACTGGTTGCGGAGCCTCCACCCTTCCCCACAACGCGCCTGCCTCTCTTAGCAGGAGGGCAGCGTCCTTGGGGTGGCTCGGTTCCGTCGGAGGCCTTCCCGTTAGCCCAGGGTGCTGGGTTTGAGGAGGGAACGCATGGTTAGAACCGAGCAGCCCGGGAGCCCGGAGGGCGAGCAGGGTGACCCAAGCAGCTCAGGCTTATGCAGGAGGCGTACTCTCATAGACGCTTCTCGAGAAGTGTTTTCACCAAAACATTTAAGCCTATAAAAATGTTTTAGGTCGCAGTTTCTCGTGTACAGTCCAAACGCTGGCAGTTTGCTTCAGCACAGATGCCTGGCAGGGGAGATCAGAGCTCAGCACAATGGCCTCATTTTGAACAGAGCCTAACGCTTTTTGCAGGGGTGATGATCACGCCAGGTGGACGTGCACCCCCAGCCCACGCCCCTCCCAGGCCCCTGCTTTTCTGGTTCTGAGCCAGAGGGAAGCTTGGCTACCAGGCCATCAGCAGGCGGCCTTGGAGAGGCGACCCCAGAAACCTCTGTGGGAGACCTGGGACCTGCCCAGTTTCGGAGACATTGAAGACACCGGCAGCGCAGAAACTGTTGACCAGCTCTTGGAAGTGAGGCCCCTCATCCAGCGCCTCTTCAGACCCCAATGTGACGTTGATGAGGCTCATCCCTTTGGGGGACAGGAGCCTGGGCCCCTCTGTCTTCTTGGGGGCTTCCTCTGAGCCCTGCCCTGGCACCCGTGATGTCACAGGGACGAGGGTGGACGGTGGTCCTGCAGAGGCTGCAGGTGGCTCTTGGCCACTTGGCCATGGCCCACCGCACAGGGCGGGCAGCTGTCCCTCCCACTGGTGGCGTCGGAAACGCAGGCCCAGCCCTCTCCTCCAGCTCCTGGGAGCACAAAGCCCGCTCGGGCCTTCTCTCCTGTGCACTCGGGTTGGCTGTCCAAGGTGCAGTTTTGTCCAGGCTCCTGAGCAGAGCGCGTGTGCTGGTGCAACGCCACAGAAAATTAGACCAGAGACACTTTTTCCGTTCTGGAAACAGAGTCTGAGGCTGTCTCTTGAATGATTGGCCTTTTACCACCTGGGCAGAAACCAGAAAAAGTCCAGCCGTGAGCTGGCATGACCCCAGGCCCGACATGACCCCAGGCCCGGTGTGGAGTCACGGCAGCAGGAAGGCACCGCCCAGCGGAGGGTCTGGTGCTGGGCGCTTGGTGAGGAGCCTTCCACCTCTGGGGAACGTTCACTTGGGAAGCCAAGTCCACACCCAGCAGGGGGAGCCCCTCCGTGAGGTCGTGCTCTGGCCACCCCCCAGCCCCCGTGATGCGGCCGCAGCACAAGGCCCCGGCCCTGCGCTCTGCTCAGTTCCCACTGCGGTCCACGCCGGAGGTTCTCAGGGCAGGGGCCTGCAGGGGTCAGGGAGCTGGACGCCCACAGCCCCGCCCGCTGTGTTAGGCTTCCCCGCTCTGCTGGCCCTACAGCTCCTGCCCAAGCAGGTCCCGACGGCCCAGCGGCCTGCAGCCTGCTCTCCTCCGGGGCAGGGGCGCCTCAGCAGAAGAGCCCTCGAGATCCGACCCTCCTCTCCTGGCCTCTTCTCACCTCAGGTTCTGGACCTAGCAGAATTGCTCGACCCCCAGACAGAGCTGGATGGTTCCAGGCCCTCCCGCTGTGACTCCTTCCAGAGAAACCCCCCTGGAGGAACTTTGTGCCAACACGGTGTTTGTCGTCGGGGAGGACGGGTGCCCGTCAGCTAGCTTTCTTGTCGCGGCTGCACAGGCGATCCCTGCACACGCAGCAGGCACTCAGGGCTACTGGCTGGTGCCTGGGAACGCGGGTGAATGAGCAGGAGCCTCCGCTGGACGAGGACGGTCATGTCCCCACAGCAGGGAGACTCACCTGGAAAGACAGAGCAGGTGTTCAGAAACGCAGCCTTCAGAGAGTAACCGCGCTGATGGGTTCACCTGCGCAGGTGTGGAGACGCAGCATGTAAACGGCTTTCCCTGAAAGCGGGGTTTGCTGCAAGATGGCCTGAGGCTGCACTCGAGTTCTGCCCTACATAGAAGCTGCTCCACATCCCTGGACCGCACGGTGTCGCCGAGGAGGCCCAGTAGGAGCAGACCTGCCGCAGACTCAGGATGTGGTCAAGCCCTTCATGAAACACCCCACGTTCACATTTGTCCCATATTCACTTCTTCATTTAGATTTTGGGATTTTTTTAGTGTCACAATTCTCATTCAATTTATTATTCTTATACTTTTGCTTTTTCGTTTCAGATAGTTTATTTTCTGATATTTCCTAGAAGTTTATAATTCCTGTTTCAGATAGTTTATTTTTCTGATATTTCCTAGAAGTTTATAATTCCTGGAGCCTTCCTAGAAGCGCTTTGGATACCACGCTATTTAAAAAAATTTTTTAACTTGAGTATAAACTAACATTGAGTGCAACTTGCCTTCGTTTCCTTAAAAGTCCACCGTCCCGTGGAAACCTGCTCCCTGCAGAAGTGGAGAATGTTGTCTTGTCTGGGGACACCGCAAGGTGACGCTGCTCTCCGAGTACTGACCGCACGGCGGAAAGAGGGTGGTCACGTGCCCGCAGACCCGGATCCAGGGGAAAGACTCTCCTGGGCGCCTGGCCCCGCGGCTCCTGCGTCGTGGGCGGGGGCGCATCCACCTGGGGCCGAGGCCCCTCCGCCAGGGTCTG